ACATCAAGTAAGTTCAAACAAACAAAAAACCCCCACTGATTTACCCCTCAAAAGTAACATTTGACACAGTCGTCTCTTCCGTAATCAATCTTCACCATAAAACAAGACAGGAATATTTATGCAGGTATTACCCTACACGCACTAAAATGCTATAAAATATTAATGCCTATTTAGATGAGCATCTGTCTTTTTTAGTTTTGTTTTCAGAACTGTCTATTCATTTATATAACATTTCCAGCAGATTCCTAATCTGTTATACTTCACGGGTCCAAGTCCTACTGATTTCAAGATAATCCGTGTTGGGATGAGTGACATATGCTCCCAGGCTTCTCTATGGATTGAAATAGAGGACAGGAAAGGAAGACGTAAGTAACATAAACAAAAGTGTCAGTGATATTTTGCAGATACTCTGAAGATACTTATAAAACCAGTATAGAGCACAGTCTTCATTATCAAGCAGTGAATATTTTCTTTGGTATGCAGCTCTAACTTCTAGAGCCCTGCCTATTTGCAGAGCGTGGTGCTGCTCTACGGATAGATACAAAAATGCGTAGATCTAATTTAATGAAGGTTTTTTCAACAATTTTTTTGTTGGATTGCACATTTTGACACAGCATTGAGATTTCTGCACAGAAATTCTCTTTTTCTTCATAAATGCTTTTGAGATGATTTTCAGTGATAGACATCTGCATTTTCTTCTGTGTTACTTTCACTTGTCCCCAGAAATGTACCTGTCTCAGATCTATGAAATCCACAGTATTGAGGAGATCGTTGCAAATAGGGCCCTTGTCCCCCAGCACAGTTCTGCAGGGAAGAAGCTGGTGTCATTTGTCCCTCTGGCGGCCTTCCAGCTCAGGAGTTCCAGAACACAGATGATGTTTATTCACTTATTCATTTATTTTCTAGCCAGAGTTGCTGGATTTTGCAAGAAAGCGCGGGGTAAGATACGCCAGCTTTTCTCTTGTCCTAGGAGTTTTCCCTCTGGAGATCCCACATCAAGTGCACAGGCCTTACCTCTGCATTTTGGTTCTTACCTAATAAGGCTATGGGAATCTTAGTAACTAGAAGACAGTAAGCTACTGAAGTAGAACATCTATAGAACATCTTCCGATAATCAAGAAATGGTCTGAAAGAAACATGAAAACAGGAGAGGAATGCTCCCCTCCTTTCTCTCTGGAGTAGACAACATGCATTTTACCTGTCCAGCTGAATCCAAGATGATCAGCAATGTGGGCCAGTCTTTCCTCTGTCCTTTCTTGATCATCCTGTTGATCTAAAGGTTAAAGAGAGCAACAAGTTGCCTTTTACAAGTTAAAAAGCATTTCACAGGTGATCTAGCCCAAGAAGGGAAAGCGTTGATTTTTTTTTTTTTCTAACTGCTGTAATCTAAATGTGGACAGGCTGCTACAGCTGGGCAACTAAAGTAAGACTGTAAATCCCCAAGTTGGGGGGGGAGAAAGAAAAAAACAACAGCTTGATTTTTCAAAAAGACCTACATTTTCAATTTGAAAATCAGGCTTTCATGTGAAAATCTAAACAAGGACTACTGTATCTATTTAGGCCAAGCATTTTATTCTAAAACTTCATTCTAACATTAAATTGAAGACTAACTAAGTCAAAAGCCTTAATTTTCCATGCCTCCTTAGTAAATGTCAAGGTTGAAAAATTCATCTGGACTGGTGCTTCTAATTACATTGTTTCTGTTGCAGGGAAAGTTTTGTTCAAACAGTCCATAAGGCACTTTGTATTATGGTTTGTGTTTGAGATATTGTTAATTTACACGTCTTTGACCCTTTCAACTGGGGAGTGATACAAAATACTTAAAGTGAAGGCAAGGAAAAATCAGATATTCATTTGTCAGTTTTCATTTATTTCAGTAACAATGAGACTGACTGTTCCTCCCATCCCCCAAGCTAATTTGAGGATGGCAGAATTTGAGTTTTGATTTTCCCTGAATGCACACATGGATTGCGATAGCTCAGATTCAGACAACTGCTTAGGGTTAATGATAAATGCATGTTTCATTTTAACTACTGGATTTCCATCGTGGCTACTCAGTAGTAGTATACAAGTAGGGGAAAGGAAAACCAAACACCAGAAAACTATTACTAAAGTTACCGGTGACACAGAATTTTCTTTAGACACAGGTGGTCAAAAAAAGGAACAAGAAAAACTTCATTGTTTAAAACTTCTCCAGCTTTTTTTTGGTGTAACAACTCACAAGAAAATGGATTTGCCCGTCTCAGTTTCAACCAGTGCCCAAATATTTCATTATTAGTAAAAATTAGTAGTTAAGTATAGAGCCAAGGAAAGCCAAAAGCCAAAATGTGCATGATCTGAGCAATCAGTTTAATGGTAAACCAATACATGCTTTTAGAAGTGTTTTTCTTTATTAAGGTAACACTTCCCATAAGCATTCATGGTTTGCAATCTTGAGATTGTTTCACGGACACGAAAAATATAGACACAACACAAAAACCAAACACAGCTCACGGGGGGAAAAAACCACACAGCTAGCCACCAAAAAAGCTTAAACAAAAATGCCACACACATTACAGGTGTAAACAAACACACGTACGCGCACACACACCCCAAAGAAAACAGAAAAAACCAAAAAGTTTAATTCATGACATGCGTCGCACAGGGAATCCCAGTCGTTGGCAAATACCTTCATCATGGTCATGGACATTTTCATCAGGGATACGTTCAATCTGAGTCTCTACAGACTCATCCCAAATGGGTCTGGTGTCAAAGATGTCTTCAGGAACTGACTGCTGAGTCTCACTGGATGGCACATTTTCAATAACTGAAACTTCTAGGGCGCTACTGCTTTCGTCATCTGAAACTAATTCTTGTTCTCTCTCTGACTGTGTGAGTCTTTCCACTAATTTAGAAGCTTCATCACTAATTTCTTCAAAGAATTCTATGGAGTTTTTGTAAAGGTCAAAAAAGTGTTCCTTACTTTCTTTTGTGGGACTAAAAGCACTGCGGGAGCCCGTAGTGCTTCTGCTCTTAACGGGCAGCCGTGATGAAAATACCTTGGATCTTGCTGTTGCTGCCTCATCTGAGTCTAGCTCAAGCTTCATCTCGCCCTCCCTCTCCCTGGTCTCTGCTTCTGCCTCAGCATAACTCCTAGCTTTTACTGAACGTTTAGTCTTTGGGTCCATGGGAATACTTGCATCAGATTCAGATTTGCTTCGGCTGTCTTGCTTCACAGGTGCCTTACTTGTCATGTCAAGAGCTTTGGGTGACTCTAGCTTGCGGACAGATGCGTCTGTGCACGGATGTTGTTGTTCAGTTTTTTGGAAAGCTGCTTTGACAGGAATTTTAGACTTTGGTTTTGCTTGGTCATCTGCCCCTTCACACTGCAAACTGTCTAGGACGTCGTCTGCGGGAAGGCTGTCATGTTCTGATTGTTGCAAGGACTGCGATGCAGTAGCAGCTGTTCTTACAGGAATTTTGGATTTGCTTTCACAAGAAGGCACTCTCTCCATTAGAGCAGTAGGGATTTCAATCACAGATCTCTGTTCCTCTGGTGAAGAGTCGGGGGACTCGTCACCCTGTTCGGAACAAACCGATCTAGTCGTTTTGGAAAAATCAAATTCATCGTCTACTACAGACTGCTCAGGAGAGACTGGGCAAGGCACCTGACCGCTATCAACCGTGTCAGTCTCCATTCCGGAGAGGGGTTCAGCTTCAGAGGCAGCGCTTTCTTTCTTTGGTGATTTTGAAGAAGCTGAAATACCCATTTTAATTGGAATTCTGGATTTGAGATCTGCTTTTGGGGTGCCTGTGCTGACACCGTCACCCATCATTTCTTCTGATTTATCGCTAGACTCAGATTCTGGGAATGAGCATTTCAGCATATCTTTTTCTGGCACATCCAAGTCCTCTGATTCTGACGGTGAAAATGGATCTGGTGAGCTCTTAAGCTTAGAAGATTCCACCTCTGCTGCTTCTTTCACTTCTTCAGATGAAGAAGCTTCTTCCTGAGGCTGCTGCCCCACTTGGAAGAAGTGAAAGCTTTCATCTGGATAGTTTCTTTTGGTCATGTCAATGGCTCCGCTTCTAGTCATTTCAAACAACTTTCCTTCCTGAAAAAGAAAAGGATTTTGTTCACTAAGTGGTGTCCCCTCTTCAGTGGGTGTTCTGGCTGGTGTTGTATCGGGTGTTGTGCCTTGTGATCGCCTGTCTACCATCAGCCCAAATATCTTTTGTTCCTCCTCTTTCACCCGAGCTTCGAAAGCTTCATCATCTTCACGTATTTCACTCCACATGTCAGAATCCACATCAGTTTTAGTGATGACAACTTGACTGATCAATTTCTCTGTTTCATCTCTTACGTCCTTAAGGCCAGGGTCAGCTAATTTTTTGGAATCTGATGCTGAAGACCCTTGTGATTTTTTCTGAAATGCATCCTCCAGTTTTGGCTCTATTTCCATGTATACTTCCTCCGAAGAATGATATTCACTACCTGTGTCTCTGCTAAGTAAAGCATCACCAGTCTGGTCTTTTCCTTCTTGAACAGAAGAGTTTTCCCTAGATAGCAGACTTCTGTCAGATCCTACCTTACTCTCACAGTCAGCAAAGAAATGTTCAGAAGACACATTTTCATAAGGGCTTACTATATAATGAGCACTACTTTCAGCAGCATCTGCTACACAGCTTTCAAGGTCCCCTGTTTCAGTGGTAAGGGATGAATACTCTGGAAAGGGTTTCTCAGCGTGAATATCTCTTTGAGATGTTTCAAAATCTCTATCTGCTTTCCCCAAATCCCTTCTCAAAGTACAACGGTCAGTGGTATTGTCTTCAGCCAGTTTGCTATCTTGTGGTACAGAGCACTCAGTGGTACTGTGTCCACAAGAACCATCATCTGCTTTCTCAGTGGCAGCTCCTGTAGCGGTGAGATCTTTGTGTGCGAACAACGCAGCCGTTACAACTTCTTTTTCGGTAGTATCATGGTGCCGTGGTGTTAGTGAAGACTCAACACACGCTTCCCCTTGAGAACTGTCACCAGCGGAATGACACAGAGTACCCCCAGACTGTGTGACTGGGGCATTGGGACTAACTGTCTCACTGTCATCTGTACTGTCACATTTTGATTCATCAGTGCCCGCTGGCACACAACCATCGGAATGACAAGTGCCCGATTCTCTTGGGGAAGCCTTACAGCTGCCCCTGAGGATAAGTGGTTCCTCTCTGTCATCTCCTGTTGGCTCATCCTGTTCTACTTTAACTGCACCTACCCCGACAGAGCACTGCTTGGAATCAATGGGTTGAAAACCTGCTTCGCTGGGGCTAGAACTGGAGTCAACACTGGATGGTAATGGGGAGGGTGGCTGCACTCGGATCACCGGCTCCATTAAGAGGCCTGAGTCGGCTTCTTTTTTTAGCTGAGTCAGTTCCGGCTCACTTTCTGAAGAGGAAGAGCCTTTTCTCGATTCAGCTGCAGACGTCACCACTGCAGGCATAACTTTTTCTCCTGCAGCTGTTGACTCTGGTTCTTCAGCTTCACGTGCAGTTTCTGAATCAGCAACTACAGAAGATTCATCTTGCTTGCAATCCTTTTTGTAATCTCTCTTTTGTTTTGCTTCTTGTTCTAACTCATCAAACGTTTTGATTTTGGTCACCATTTTAAACATCTCCTCTTCAGGGGTGAATCTCTTCTTTGGTTCACTTTCTGGATCATCCTCTGGTTCTTCGCTGACTTCAGGGATCACGGCCGACTTTGGTATGTTAGACAGTGCCTGCGAGTCTGCTGTTTTGGGTGTGATTTCATAGCTAATTTCTTCAGAACTAGGGGTTTCAGGTGAAAGAGGACTTTTCCCTGAACTCTCCATGAGGGACGTTTGCTCTAGACTGTCATCATCAGCACTTCCCTCAGGGTCACGGAGAATCCTGGAACGCACTGATGCCAGCTCTGGACAGGTTTCTCCTTTGCTAAGAACAGACTGAAGAGGACCCTGCCCCAAAATAACAGCCTTCACTGTTTGTTCTACAGGGCTACTTTCAAGGGAATCACGGCAGGGAGACTCTTTCATCGGACTGGGCTCCAAAGAATCAGGTGTTTTGTGTGATGAGTTATCTTCTAGCACTGGGCTTGCTTCCAATGAGTCTTTGTGACTTATAGCCAAAGAGTCATCTGCAACTGGGCTAAAGCATTCACTATCATGGCTAGCAAGTGAAAGTTCCAATTTCTGGGGACTTCTAACCGCAACACGGCGTTCACAGGTTATATCTTTTTCTTTCTCTAAAGCAGTGTCATGTGTTTCAGAAGACTTAGTTAAATGTGCAGTGGTCCTGGATTCTTTATCCCTGCTAATATCTTTCATAATGGATGCTGAGCTACTTTCTGTAAGTTTATCAGCCTCTTCTTCAGAGGCTGTAGGTACAAGCTCTTCTGATACATGGTCAGAATGAGACTTAGTAGTCTCGGTAACAGCATCTAGCTGTCTTTCAGTAATACCTTTTTCATCTTTTGAAGAGGGTTCCTTCGGAGAACATGTTTCTGCTGTTGTTTGTGCTCTAGTTGATCCCTTAGCTTCTTCAATTTGCCCATCAGTTTTCTTTGGTGAGAATGAAAGGCTTTCAGGGCTTGTTTCTGGAGTCTCTGCCAGACCCTCATGCTTATAACTTTCCTCAGAGCTGATCTGAGGGGTTCCGTCAAGTAGGCTACCTGGAGAATCAGCCACACCTTCGTGTTTAAGGCTCTCTGAGCTCCCATCAAAAGCGGCACTTTGCAGAGAAAGAGCAGGAAGGAACCCATCTTTCACATACTCTGTGGGAAAAGCGACACTGAAAGGACTGGTCAGAACTTGCTCCAAGTTAAGCTCTCCCTCCTCTGTCACTGAAAGGTGTCGGAACTGTTGATATTTGTCATTATCCTCCAGTTCTTCTTTAATGACATCAGAAAAGTCTGTTGAGGTTTTCCTGTCGGGGCTGATCTGGAAGTCAGTATCTCCTTGGTCGTCAGAAGTCCTGCCCTTCACAGCTGCTGTGTCTTTGGCACTTTCATCATCAAATACAGGAGGGAGAGGTTCAGTCGGTTTTTTGCTGCTCTGCCCTTTCACCTGGTCTTTACCTGCGGCTTTCTTGGTGACTTCGACGGCAGAAATTTGTGGTTTTCCTTTTTTGGATTGTGGCTCTTTCTCTGCTTTGGATACCGTGCTTTGTTTGTCCTTCTGTTTGTCTGTCTTGTGGCTTGATCCTCGCTTCAGTTCGCTTTGTGAAGAAACTGGTTTTCTCCGGGTTGTTTCCTTCTCAGGGAGCTGTTGCTTCTGTTTGACAGATTTGTGCTCAAAGAGTCCAGATACATTCTTGGATGGGTCTTGACCTGATTGGAAGGCTTTCATCAGTTCACGAACTGACATGGTCTCTTCAAGTCTTTCTGTCTTAGAAGAAGGTGAAACGGGTGGTTGTGCTTTGTGTGCTACTGTTTTTTTGACTTGCACCGGTCTTTTAGATGCCTTTTCAGCAGTGCCTTCTCTTGTTTGAATTCTGACAGGCAGTTTTGACCGTATTTTTTGTTCATCTTCCACTCGTTTCTGCAGAGCTTTAACTTTATCTTTTATTGAGCCAATAGGAGTTTCCTCTATAACAGGGGATACAGCTTTAGCCTCAGGAGGAGCTGCCGGTGTTAAGCCAGGTTCCCCACCTCGTGACTCATCTGAAGTGAGCTTCGTTAGTCCCGGTTTTTCTTCACCGCTGTGCATCTTGCCTTCCTTTTGCTTTTGCTTGTCTCTTAATTTTGTCCTAACCGGCTTTTTAATTTCTAAGGCTGGCTTGTGTTGCTCCTGCGGACTTAGTGTTTCAGTTGTTGGAGATTCTTGTCCTTCTTTTTCAGAATCCCTGCTTATTACTACAGCTTCAAATCTCTCCTCTACTAGGTCTTCTTGTAAGGCCGGCGGCTGTACCTCATGAAGAGAAATATGTGTTTTTAAATCCTCTGTAAGGTAATCTACCATTCCTGCCATGTCTCGCTTCTCTGGTTTTGTTGTCTCTTTGTCTACCCTGACTTCTACACAGGTAGGTTCACTGACTTCTAAAGGAGCGTTTCTTCGGGCCTCTTCAATTTCTTCATCACTGACAATGACCCATTCTTCTTCTACAAGTTCTTGACTGGAAAGGGACTTTTGCAAAACACGTTCCTCTCTGGTGTAGGATCCACCTCTCAGAATTTCATTTACTTTTTCTAAGTCTTCTTTCACTCTTTCAACTATTTCAAAAGGCTCTCCTGGCTCTTCTTCAGTGGGTTTTCCAAGATCTTTCACTTTAATGGAGCCTGATTTATCAGAAGGGTCAGTTGTCAAGATGGCAGTCATTTTGATCAAATCTTGTTTCATCTCAGAAACTTCAGACAACAGGTCTGGACTGGCTAGTACAGGGACTTCATTAACCAGATGACTTTTCAGGATAGATGTTTCTGTAGATTCTGTCTCGTCATCTTTGATGCGAATGAAAAACATTGAAAAGTAAAATGGAAATCAAAAATAGAGATTGGAAAATGTAATCAGGACTGAAAATGACAGTCTTTGGTTGCAGTGGTAGGAAGGTCAACAAAATGGGCCGGGAATGGTGGATCCACAAGATCTGAGGGTACAAGAGCAAAGCAAAGCTAACAGGGGGGTGGAAAAACAAAACAAAACGAAACAAAACAAACCACCCAAAATAACCCCAAAACAACTGAAAAGGAAAATGGCAGGAAATAACTTGCTTAACTTTACCAATATAGCACATCCACACATACGTTATCAGAGCTGTAACAAACCAAATCAGGACACCACTAAAAAAAAACCAAAATAACAACAAAATTTAAAATTAAAACCAGAAGAAACACAGTGAAGTTACACAAAGATAGGCATCTCAAGATTGTTCAGATGTTACAGATCAATGTTCAAATAAAAATAAACAAGAAAAAAAGGGGAAAGCATTAGAACTGATTGAAAGTCGATTTCCTCTAAGAGAAAGCCAGTGTTAGCAAACTGTCAGAATAACATTGTGTCAACTTTTTTTTTTTTTTGTTTATTAATGACCAAAATAAAGAGTTCAAAGTAATTCTGCAGTAATCTAAAATATGATCAAACATGTAGAGATCTGAATCAGCTGCAAACCGGCATTTCATCTAAGGGGATTTCACACCTAAACAATGAAAGAACATTCTTTTGTTTTAAGAGGCATGGTCCTTTCCTTGGAACATCCTCATTGACAACTAATGAATTGACTGAGGAAGGAGAAGACAGAGAAGAAAAGGAGAGAGAATAAGAAAAAAACTGTGAATCAACTTAGAAGTGATTTCAGAGTTTTATAAAATGTAATGTATGGCAACCAAAATCAGACATTCACACTAGACGCATACATACAATTTATGTAAGGCAAGTTATTTCCATGCAAAGCAAAGGTGTTGCAAATGCTGCTGGGTATGTAGCTTCAGTTAAAAAACAATAGGTCTAAAAATTAATCATATAAATTAAAGATACACGAAAATATTGTAAAACATACTGTGGTGAAATATTTGTGTAATCTGTGTAATCAACATACAGTAAATTGGATGTAGGTAATTCCCATTATGCTGTAACTGCCTGCTGGGAATACTTAATTTCAGGAAGGACTACTAGAAAATGTATACTGAACAGAATGAAACATTGGAGAACTGATGCAAGTTATGAGCAGAATGCAATTCTTAGGAATTATAATTGTACACTTTTCCTTTAAAAAGTAAAACTTGACACATTTCTGCACCCCCGCCTAAAAGCCAAAGTAGTAATGCAAATAAGGAGAACCTAAACATATATAATTATCTGTATTTCTTTGTGAAAAATACCCATTTTGCTGCGCTATTCCTCGTCTGTCATGAATGCTGCATGTCTGTGCTGCACATCAGTTACAGCCAGATGGCTGGGGCTGATTTTGCTGCTGAAACTTTGGCGTGCGGGTGCTGCTGTTTTTAATGCAAACTGCCTGGTGCACGCTGATGTGCTATCTAGCGATTCTGTGGATTTGTAATACACATTGTCCTAAATGTCCAACGCATGACCACGGTCTTCGAACAGGCATGTTTTGGTCTCTTTCAGGTTTGTTAATTATATTTTTAACAGTTCCTGGGAACAGTGTCTCTCTTGCACTCTCCTCTTTGCAGCTGTTCTACCTAATTCTCAAGCTAATTCTCCACCAAGCCAAAGGAAGAAGTAGCAAAACTGCATTGCTACCTGACTAGTGTTTTCATTCATCCAGTGTAAGTCACCAAAAATTCTAGCTCTATGCTATGTTGAATTTAGAGGAGTCTGTGACAGCCACAACGGAGCAACCTCACCAAACCTACATCCTGCCACCTCCCTTAGGATTGGTGTACTGCACTGAGTAAATTATGTGGCAGGTGGAGCATTCAAACCCTTTTTCACCTCTGTGTTTTACTGTTCTGCTGAATTCACTTCCCATTTCCCATGGCCAAGGTGAGTCATGGGGCACCTGAAAGTCCACTCTGCTGGCTATACTACAGTGTGTCTTTTCCACCTTGATGAAATGTGTCATCCCGGTGTAAATGACAATGAACTAGAGCAAAAATCTGATACTAAGAATGTTGTTAATCATGCTGAAGACTGTTTCCTACCACATCATTGGCTATTTTGTCGCTGTGATGCCTTTTATTCTCTAGATGAAGCATTTCTGCTTTAGACAAAGGAAGTTACAGGGGAATGATCATCCATTTGATCTTCAGGATCACAGTGCTGTTGGCTTTTCAATTACAGCATGTACATAGTACATCAGGAATAAATAACCCTCAATGAAATGTAGAAAACAAGGGAAGACATTGCACCTTAAACTGGAAATAAGACAGAAGTCATTCTTTTCCTAAACAGATTTAAGAAGTCACTGCATTTGAAAACAGTTCTTATTAGATATACTCTTCAGACCGAATAGGTGTTTGTATGATTTGCATCTTCATTAAAGGAGACCTTTGACACTGTGAACTGCTCACTCTCTAACAGTAATGTCCTGATCCTGTGTATGCAAAGGGTATATAAGCTGTACCAATCTCAACGGCCATATTTCCAGTCATATTTCACCACAGTAGAAGGGGGTCTGGGGGGGGAGGGGAAGGGGAGTTAAACAGCCTGATTACTTTGGACAGTATCACTTTTTTGCATGGTTGTACTATATGAGTTTAATTAAATATATTGGAGTTTTAATTAAGATTTCATCAAAAGTGATACTGTCATTTATCTCAAATATGAGACAACAATATGTGTCAACAAATGGACAAAACAAAAAAAATGGAGGGATGAGCATTCATACAAGCAAAATAGCAATAGCGGGATCACTAGGGATGTCAAAGGAAAGTAAATGCTTAGATGAACTAGTTTAAACTGTATTACTTGTTAATTTATACATTAAAATGTATTTAGTTGGATAGCTGCTTTGATAATAAATTATTTTTTATTACATTATTAAAGTATTGATGTTATTAGCCATAGCAGTTAAAGCTTAGCTGTCGTTCATGCTTATCTTTACTCTTAACCATTTTTCATACAAACTGCGTTGTAACGTGGTCAAAACCAAGGAAAATCTTACTTTTTTCCGAAGTCATATCAACCTGGAAGAGAAAAAAGGGGAAAATTTAAAAGTTGGAATATAACCAGCGTATATTGTCTCTAGTGAAGTGCTACAGTTTGAGTCAAACCCATTAAACGTATGGAGACAGAGAGATTCATTGAGTTAAACCAAACTAAGGATGTATTTAAAATAATGGTAACAGCTTGGATGAATTTCTGTAGTGTTTTTAACAACAGAAAAATTTTTACTTTGCTACAGTTATGGTCAACAGTAGATGGAAAACGCTGCAATGTATTTTCTTTAAATGTGACTAGCAGTATAGAGGACCCAGACTTTTGTATTACTGGGTACATTACTGCATTGTTCTTAATTTATTTCTTCCCATCTAAAGCAAAAAAGTTCAATATGGTCATCTGAAGGCGTATGTCCCATCTGGAAGGCAACTAGTATGCTGTATGCACAGCTCCATTGCACCTACTCATTCTGAGATCACGGTTTGTATTTTGGCCTTGGTGATGGAGAAACGCAGGAGCGGAAATGACTGAAGACCTGCCGTTGCCTAAGGCAAGGACTAGGACGCGGTGCCACTAATAGCTATTGATGCGGTGATGGCCCTCGGAGGCCAACTTTTTGATTTTTGAGAGTGTATTTGGGTACAGATTGAAAAAGCCATACAATTTTACTGTTACTCAAAAGAAAACATAGCCCTTGCCAAAAAACTTCAAAAATGCAATGTCAAACTATGAAAATTCAAGAAGCAAATTTTTGAAGTTGCCATGTTGTTTGACTTTTTCTTTTTTTTTTAGTTCTGCTAGCACAGTCATTTGTCCACACAAACAAAAAAAAAGAGTTTTGTTGTGTAAATTTGGTTATGCAAGGTTAGAAATAGCACTAAACATTTAACTTCCCATGCAAACCTGTGGTGGTAGGGTGACTGCGAGGAATGAAAATCAGCTATGCAGTACTACTGATACAACGTCCTGTGTATGTTAAAGGCCCCAGCATAGTTTTTTAGTGAGTGTTGGAAAGGTTTTATTTGTTTGAAAGTATTCTTTATAAAGATAAATATATAATCTCAGTTAAGATGTTACTAATTACTGCTTTTCCATAAACTGAAAATGAATACAAGTATTTCAGTGGCAACACTTCAAGGTTCACACATGCCTTGCAGTCACTGAGTCTCACATTATTAAACTTACTTAGCAGTGTGTATTACAGATCCACAACTGTATGAATTCCCCTGATGCACAGATTGCCCTATGTGGTAACCTGGGCTCCCTAGGATACTTTAACTGACCCTTCACGTTCCTCCAAATCAGTCTGGAATTATGTCGGCATACTAATTAAGATTATTAATGTAAAAATGAATAAGCAATCAAACAAACGAAAAAGGAAGGTGTTTTTAGCCATCAGTGAGCTTGTCCTTTTGTGCTTTAGTTTCTTGTATAAAGATTTAAGAAGTCATCAATGTTTGGAAAAACAGTTTTCCATTATCCTTTACACTGGTTTTACAGATCTTAGATTTGTTAAAAACAACTTCAAGGGACTTCACTGGGAATGCATCAATACCATTGTAGAGGCTAAAAGAATTAGTTTTGTGCTTCTGGTACCAAATTCAATGATCACCCAATAAGAAATGTTACCTTCTGAATGGATATAGTACAAATTAGCTTAAAAACTTTGGCCATGTTTTCACCTCACAGTGCCTGTATTTCAGCACTGAAATAGGATTGGCAGGTATTTCTGTAATGCTAATAGGAAACTGCAATCCACGCAACAAAACTTCTGAACTCTGTTTTGCAGTTCATGGAAACGACGTCTATCATCTTTGGGGAGCAGGCTATTCCCACATGCTGGCACTCTTACTTGTTTCCAGCAGCTGAGCATCATCAAAACGTGGGGATGCTTTTCTAGTGTTACTCATTCATGTCGGGGTCAGACCTTAGGAAACATCTATAACTGCCAGAACGGGGCTGGGAATGTAAGAGGAGTTGGCCACATTTCTCCACTAAGATGCAATTCAGTTTACACTAAAGATGAACCTCTACACCTTTCACTTGGGGTAAAGTTACTTGTAACTTCTGGGTTAACACTGATTCTGTACTGGGCTTCAGCATCCAACTGAGAAATCTGTAGGATCCCATCTCCTGGAGGCTGTAAATGGACAAGACCTGTGAATGGCAGCCCTTTTGGGTATACAGGTCGTGCATTCGGTGGCAATCTGGTCGCAGGCTCCTCCCAACAGTGGGGAACTCGCTGATGGGGTAATTGCTGTATTTAGGTCTGTTCCTCTGCCTCTGTTTCCCCCTACCCAGCACCACTAACTAGAGGAAGTGTATTCAGACCATACTTAGGCGTATTGTAAAAAGTGTACCATGCAAACGATCCTTTGAATACTTTAGACAAGTCTAGTAGCAACCCTGTGTTATTTTTAGGATGTAGGATGATTCTCAGAATCAGAAAAATCAGCCCCATTTCCCCTTTTTTTGTGCTGCAGAGAATAAAGCTTAAAGAAATACACTGTTATGGCTTATTCTTGAGAAAAATAATTTTTAAATTAAGTAACTACTGAAAGCAAAATGAACTATTACACGCTGCCAAAATTGGTGCATCTGAGTCAGTGAAACTTCAATTTTTGCTAAACTCAGGAAATTCCAGACATGAGCCTGTGTAAGATCCTTTAAAGTGCATCCCACTGGTTTTGTAGCATCGAGCTAATGATTGATATGTCTGTTACACTACAGGTTTGATCTTCCAAGCTCTGTCTTTCAGTTGTATTTTAGTAGTGTGCGTAAGCAATAACATGCTGTTATAGCAACATTACCTCTTCTTCTTGTTCTTGGTCTGACTCTGATTCCTTTCAGTTCCAAAATGCCATGCAAAAAGAGAAGGGGAAAATAGAACAGGCAAAATGCAAATTTTTTAGAAGTAAAGAGTAGGAAAAAATAACTTCTGACAACATTTAACAGAAAAGAAGCAAATGCAGTAAGTTTCTGCCAATGATTTCTTATGTCAAAAAGCAGCAAAACTCTAAACTGTCAATTTAAAACACAAAAGAGTCAAGCAAATTACAAACAGAAAAGTTGCTTCTGGGTGTTAGAATGCTAGTGATTCTTATTTGTACCAAACCTTAAAAATATTACATCCTTCTGCACCCATAAATTAGCATGAAAAAATACTTAAAATAGTTTAGAACATTACCCATTTAAAGTTAAAATATGTTGAGATGTGTTATTTTTAAACTATACAAAAATGCTGTAATAAAGATTATAATATTATATGCAAAAAATGCTCAGAAAAAATGAACACCATCAGGCAAGATTTTGGGCAAACAGCATAATACATTCCTAAAAGGCATGCAGCTCCTACTGGGACAAGTCTGAGTTTTCACAGAATAGCAATAAACTGACTCTTTCTAAGGAAACCAGTGCTTCTTAACAACTGATCTTACCTAAAGAGAAATCAAGGGCACTCCCATGATTTGTGAGAATTCAACTGCTCTCAATCTTGTTACTTATAAATATTAACTAGAGTTTTCCTCCTTTTTCTGCTCCTGATATTGAACCATTTTCTTCCCCAGGTATATTAATAACTGTTAATAACAATATTTTGAAGAAAGACCATTTACACCATGTGACGTACTTGTAGATTCTTGAAAGACTTGATCAGATGTAGGAAGAGGAGTCAGTGTCAAAAGTTAATGTAATATTAAAAATCAGTCTAAAAAATATTTTCGGCACTGCTATAAAACCTTCCAAATTGTAGAGCTCAAATCTTCTACTTTCTTACCACTATCACCACAGACAAACACAGCAGTTAGCCAAAAATGCTATTGCAAAGCCCATTAACTTTCAAACTGGCGAATGAAAAAATGAGAGTTTTCAGTCCTTCTGTACTTCATACCTGAAGATCATCATATGATCTACAGACATTATCCTTTCACGTTGTGAAACAGGTACGAACGGTGACTTCACCACCAGAGAGGTGTCACAAGACATGGTTGGACAGCGTGGGCAGTCTTCAGTAAAGGAAGAAATGAACTGAGAGGTACTCACGGAGTCCCACATCTCTCTCACCCCTGACAGAATCTGGGTAAAATTTCTGTGTGAAGTAAGATCAGCACAGGTCTTGTGCAACGCCAAAGGAAACCACGGGAGCTATGCAGTGCAAAGTGGATTTTTTACTCCCTTCTGCTACCTCTTCTGAGACCTCAGAAAATATTCGATAATGACTTTGGACACTGGCATTAACAGTAACGAACCCAAGAAATTGAAAGCCCTGGTGTGGATTTATTCTTCTATAGAATACCTGACTACAAAGCTTTAACAGTATTAACAGTATTTCGCCCTCCTACTCGTGTCTTGGTTACATGATAATGCTGACTACTATAGTTGACTATAATTTCACAGTACCTTTGTGTAAATGGGTAAAGTGATATTTAGGTTACATATGGCTTGATGAACGAGGCCTCTTGTAGATTTTGGCTCCTTCATGAATGATAATCGTCCACAGGGCTCTTGAGTGGTATCTCGCACCTGATGGAGCAAACATGCAGGCATCTGATCAGTTATTTTCCTGGATGATCTACTTGTGCCACTCAAAACTATCTAGCAGACAGAGGTTAGATGTGGGAGAAAAGGTCCACGTAGGCAAAAATAATGTGTTGTCTCTTTCTTTCCCTGCTTGTTTGTACAGGTACACACGGATGTATTGGTATGTCAAAGCAAGGGGAGACATAAGCATGTACATGCTTACACATTAGAAACTTATTTATAGAAGGCAGTCCTACCACTGTAATCACAGCCTTAAAAGAACATGATTGGGCTTCTGTGATGACTTACAGTACCAATTTTTCACTGAAACGGTCATCAAACATTATGGTAATCACAGAGACTCATTTTGTATTAGGTGATAAAAGACACCAAGTCATTTTTCCCCCCAGAGGGTAAGTATGCCTACTTATGCTGATGTGAGCATAAAATAAAACAGCTCTGAATTTTCATATTAAATATTGTGTTCATTCATTTAGCAGCTCTTCTGGCTGAGCAGCTGAAAACAGTGAAAAATTACACTCCAAGTTTCCTATCTTGCAAAGTGTTTTCTCAAATGTATAGATAAAACCCGGTCTTAGAATGAAGAAACTTGCTGGAATGTATTTATAGGTGTGAGCATTATAATCTACAAAACATACTCCAGCATGCCATACTTTCATATTTTGCAGTAGATCTTAGAAAAATGTCTTTCACAGCTGTTAGTAGAAACAAATACAGGCACTTAGAGCTTAAGATACTGGTGATGTAGTTTTAGCTTTGGTACATAATGTCAGGAGGATTTAATACAGTATCACGGAAGAAATACAGCTGAAAGCACTACCTCCTTCTTAGTTTTTTGAGCCGATAAAATGTTGTAATTAGATACATGTGTATTAATTTTATCAGGTTGAAAACACTAGATGCAAAGACACACATACTTTTGAACGTGTTTCGGAAAAACCATCATGGAGAAAAATATGGAAAGCCAAAGATAGGTGGTGGCATAGGTAAAGTTCTAAATTAAAGCAAGCTTATAAAATATTGCTGGAAGTAAAGGAGAGAGTATCTAGCAGCATACAGCCAATTTAATAAAATGAGGGTGTGGGTTGATCTTCTCCATTTGTTGGAAGTTTCCATTCCTAAAGCATTTCTCTAAGACTGTTTTATGTAACGGTAACAGTGTACTCTGTTGTAGCCAGGATGTCCCAGTAGAAGGCAAAGCTTGTGGGAAGAGGTTTGCAGTGCCCGCTGAATCTTCCTGCCCAGAAAAGAAGGTGCTGGTGGCCCAGTGACAGCAGCCCACTCTGCTGCTAGCAGAGACCACCCTGAGAGCCCCTTTTCACGTGACTTACTGCTCCCTGCAGATCTCCTGAAGGACGCAGGTGAGCACCTGGGACCATGGTGTTCATGTCACTAGCCCTGTAGCTGGCGCTAAAGCATGAGTTATTGGAGATTAACAGAAGGGTTTTGTTCTGGCTTTCCTACTCATATGAGAGTTTTTAAAACAGAAGGGTACAGTAATATACACTACAAGGATAAAATTAGGTTACAGTTGGGAATTCATCAAAATTAATTACTTCCTTTTTCCTTAGAAATATGGTAAACCCGTAACTTGAAATAATCAAAAAGGAGACACGCTTTTCTTACTGTACCCCCAGGGAATTTTTTGCATTGCTACCGAAGGGAGGACGATTTGTTGAAGAACAGTTATATCTGTATTTACAACCATACTCATATTTACAAGCGTAGGGTACAACGATCATATTTTGATATATTTCTGCCAATCCTACAATCTTTTCTGACACTTTTTTGCAGTTTCTGAATCTTTACCTGCAATACATTGAACCATGACAGAAAACCAAGTAAGACTACCTTGATCAGCTCTTTAGATTATTAGGTAGAGAACCAGACTCCTAGAAGTACCATTTTGGTGTCTCAAAGAATGCTGTGGACACGTGCGTACAGAGGAGAACACAGGCACAGATAACTACATTTAGAGAAAAAAAATTACTAAATTTTAGGCACCCATTTCCATAAATCCGGTTGTTTTGACTACCCAAGTCAATGTTTAATCCATTATCACAAAACAGTTTGCACCTGTTCTTCAGTTTGCCAAGTTTATTGCAAACTCAGAAAAAAATAAAAATTTTATA